CCAAGTGTGAGTCTTGTGCTTCCAGTAGTATATGCCTCTACTACTATTCACACCTACTCATACTCGTCCCAAGTATTGTCTCGCAGTTCCCAAGTCACCATTCAAAAGTTTTCACAAAGAAACTTATCACACATGAACGTGTTCAAACAAATACGTACAACAGTTTCTCCTAGACTCAACTAGGGTTTTCACGTTTCTATCAAACATATATTGGATTACTTATACTCGCCTTCTAGGATTTTTCTCATGCATATGCTTGATTTAATATATCCTAATACTTTTCCATAGGTCGATAGAAATTTTACTTCCATTTCTTCATACTAATTCTTTCTTGAATAGTGTCTACTCTACAAGACACACTATTCCAAAATTTACTTTAGCAGCATGGAGATAAACGGTCTTCTACTACCTGCATCATCTTCTAACTCATGCAATCCATCATGCACTTTTTTCATTTCATTATTCTTCCTTGACATCGTTATTCTTGTATCTGATTAAGTCTAAGTCTACTTCATAGGAGTCTATCCTAAGAAGTTTGCATCTTAGCTGCATCTCAGCAGGCTTTACTAGCTTCAACTTGGTTCTCTATCATTCCTGACTACAACATCTCTTCTCATACGATACTATGGGTGTATTTTTTCTTCAATTAAGAATTCTACCTTACTTAAACATGTAACTTGCTTAACCATTTACCACTAAATGATTCAATTCATCATTCCAATCTTGTATGTTAAAGTTGGCTTAACACACAATGGAACTTTATATCATAAAGTCTTGGCCTATTGAGTCTGAAAACTTCATTAGCCTTTCTTTTGATCTTCATTTAATCCTTCTAATCTTGTACCACATCAATTGATATACTATCGAAGTATTGACCGCCATCTTCGGTTCTTTCGACTTTCTAAACAATCACTTCTTCAATCTGAACAGCGGTAGAAAAGCTTCGTGGATTTGTACCAACACATTTATCTTGCCCAAACGTGTTTCAAACGCACATCTTTCTTCCAAAGATGTTATTATATATCAAACATACTTTAAATGTATATTACCACTCTATTGGTATTTATACACTTATTACGATAACAATTCATATTTATTATTTTACGATATCTCGCGATCGTTTATTTATAAACTTATCGATGTCAACTATCATAAGTTTCTTTATCACTCCGAAAATTCTATTATGAAAATTCTTAAATTTTTCTAAATCATGGTCGGCAACAGACCTTAAGCTTTCTCACATAATAGAATATAAGACATATCTCTTCTCTATATTCATTTATCATTTAGCACATAATAGAATATAAGGCATATCTCTTCTCTATATTCATTTATCATTTAGCACATAATAGAATATAAGGCATATCTCTTCTTAATATTCTAGTGCTTGCCTCCATTAGGTATTCAACCTAAAATATATTGTATCATCTTTACTTAATAATTCTTGTTTAAGTTTAGAAATTATTAAAATTTCTAGTTCACTTAAACTAATTTTCTTAAAATTCTGAAGTAACTTAATATCTTAGAATACTAGGTTTTATCATTACCCAATCCCCCACTTAAATATTTCCTATGGTTTGTATCCATATACTTATTATGAATCAGCTCATATATTGAGCTTCCAATAGTTTAAGTCTAAATACCAATCCGTGATATTTAGTTCACTTAAACCATTGCTCTGATACCATGATTGAAAGACCCCAACTTTCGTATTTATGAAAGACCCAAACTTTCATACTATTTCAAAAGATTTCTTAAGTTACTTCCTCAAAACATGTTACATGCATATTTATAAAAAAAACAATATTTTATATTGATAAAGTGATTACAAAGGATTGGATACAAACCGACTAAGTTTTATTACAATTTCATGTCTACCCAGGAATCTACTTTTCACATACATATACGAACATTAAAAATACAGAGAAATACTATTAACTATTCTAAATCTTTCAACAGTATAAAGCTATATTGGAATACTCATCACCTGCAATTGTTAAATATTGAGAGGAATAAGCGATAACGCTTAGTGAATTCAATAGATAGATACAATATAATCGTATGCCTTACATATACCAATATGACAGAAGCAGAAGGGAACAAGAAGACATATGTGAAATCATGTGACAAGCGTTCATATCAATCAAAGACTTTATTCAAAGATATACTTTTCAATGAGACATAACGATTTCAATACTTGATATGCATCAAATAAATCTTTGGCCCAATTGGCACAGAAGACATATAATTTCTGATTAACATTTTGGTAGATTTCAGGCTTATAGCCCTGTCTAACCATTTGCCAATACCATAGAATAGAGTTCATTCTCTTACGGAATCATGCTCTACATGGTCATAGGCTACATACCATTCCTATCAAACATTATGCCAATGCCATAGAATAGAAGTCATTCTCTTACGGAGACATGCTCTACATGGCCAGAGGCTACGTACCAGTACCAATGTGAATCTAAATCCTTTCACTGATCAGATGGTCAAAGGTATTATAATTGCTATAAACATAGCGAATAAAATATCACGGGAGAATAACTCAGAATAATAACACTGAGAAGCACATAGCACATATAACACATAACATACAATTGTTCCTATATATTGAACTCACCTTAAGTTAACCAGGGGTTAAAATAGTAATTTGGACAGCATTTCGGCTTTAAATATGTCTTTCTATGTTGAAAATCGGAAGCTTAATTGAAAACCGGGCTCTGCGAAGGTAGGGCTTCAAAACCGAAAAGATAAAATTTCCGGGCTTCTCGGGGGTCTCGGGACGTGTTTCGGGTGCTAAAATTGATACCGGGGCTTTGGGAAAAGTCAAAATAGTGAAAATATGGAAAAAGGGGCCAAAAATGGAAATTTTCCAATTCAAGCCGGGAGGGTTCGCACCCTCCTATTTATAGGGGCGAGGTTCGGATCCTGTGGTTGAGAAGCGAGCACGTGGCTGCTGGAGCGAAGGCCACGAAGCGAGAGGAGGGGAGAAGACGTGGCACCTGCGAGCTTCGAACCAATCAGGTGAGGCCACGTCTCGGTGACGCAGCTTAAGCGAAGCTCGGACACGTGAAGGGGGCAGCTGGCGCTTCGGAATCCGGACCAAACACGCGTCGGACTTCGGACTTGCCACGACTCGGATGACTCAGTGAGACCGGACACCTGTGCGACAGGCGGCATTGAGAGGCGAGGCCACGTCTCCGGTGACGCACCTGCTTCGTGCGAGGTGACGTGGCCGGTTACTATTCATGCGAAATTTCTCGATTTTTGAGCCCCGAACTTCCAAAATCCATAACTTTCGCATACGAGCTCCGTTTTTGACGTTCTTTATATGCACGCGTAGCTAAAATTACGCTCTACAACTTTCGTTTAGAGTTCGTTGGCTAATTTCGACTTTATTTTTAATATTATTATTTTTAACAGACCGGGACAGGAAAATCCGTTAAAAATTCATAACTTCTTCATCCGACATCCGTTTTCGTCAGACTTTTTACCGTTGTACTACATATGACGAGACCTTCGATTCTCGTTTAGGATGTATCGGTAAAATATCGCTCGATCTAAAATTCGAGTTTTTAGCTGTTTACTACTAAGTTGAAACTTCGAAAAATCATAACTACTAATACGAAGTCAGATTTTGGCGTTCTTTTTATCGAATTTCTCGGTTTAACGAATACTAAAACTTTCATTTAGATTTCTAAGGCTAAAATGTAGTTTATTAAAAACTCACTTTTTACATCATTCGACGCCATGCCGGTTTTGTCGCGGATCTTCCGTTTGTCGTAACTTCTTCGTTATAACTCGGATTTCGACGAGGTTTTCGACTACAAGTTTCTAACGAGATTCTCTACAACATCAAATAATAAAATTTTACTTATTTAAAATTTTATATTTTCGCTAAATTTCACTATTTGGCTTTTAATTGGAATCTCATAAGACTTCCAATATTTTATGAGTGATTCTAAACATAGTTTTATTTCATTTCTAGTAAAAACTATCTGTTAGAACTTAACACTCAATTTCATATAATATTATTATCTTTTATAATTTACAATACACGATTTCAAAACGTGTATGTTACAAAAATCTTTAGCCTGATTGCATAAAGTTGGAAAAGATATCCCCAATATTCTTTTATACTGTAATCCCAATTTTGAATTTTAAGCAGTTTCCAATAAATGCATGCCACGTGTAACCTTGAAAAATGGACATGTAGCCTTAAAGATAACAACGTCTGAAAAATGATGAGCACTTTTCTTGGAAAATTGTGAAATAACCCAACCGTCACATCAATCAATCGTTTTGATTGCCCTAATAGGATTCCACTTGGGTTTCCGTCGCAAGGAGCTCGCAATCGGTGGGAATATCTAGGTCAGACGAATGAAATCCTCCCTTATTCGAGAAATGTGGTTGAATGAAACCATTATTGCCAAGTATTTAGAATGGAAAGACGAAAGTGTGTTTTCCTTTGTAAAGATAATGAAGTGTTTGGGAATATCCATATTAGGATTCATTCTCTATTTATAATCGGGTCCATAAACCTACTCAAGATATCTTGGAGGCCAAGGTGTACACCTCCTCAAATTCTATCATACATGACCCAAAAAACGGTCATATAAGGTTTAAAGATTTATTTAATATGCCACATTTTCGACTTTATTTACTTAAAGTATTAAAAAAAAATGATCTTTTAAAATAAATTCGATAAGTTTGTAAGGTTAAAATGTTATTTTCTTAAAAATAAAATAGGATAGAAATTTGTGGGTTTTTTTTCCATTAGCTGCTCTATATTCTGGGGAAAGAATAAATAAATAATAACATAACAAAATAATAACAAAAGATGCCTAAATCTTTCGCCTTTTAGTACAAATAGTCAAAGTCCTTTCAATAAATAAAGTTTGTGACCCCACCAAGCATTTAGAACTCACCAAACCAAATTTCCTGTTTAAATGCTCTTCCCGCTTCTATACTCCATTTCTGTATCCTAATTAGTTACCGTTGTTAGCAACAAAACTCCACTCAATAAATCCAACGTCTTAAACCCACTTCCCAAGTGGAACACTTCCCCCAAAGCCATTATTTTCAAATTCAAACTCCCCTTCTTATTCTTTACCATCTATGGCATCAAACACCTCATTCTTTCCCTTCTGAATCCATTCTTACCCTCTCAAATGTCGAATTCAAACAAGGATCCAATTCCACGACAACCTTCCTACAGTTCCCTCTATCATAATCCCCTTACAGAGCTCAAAAGTGAAGCCAACAATAGCGTTTTGACCCTTCACAATGGTCAAAACAAAGAGAATTCTGAACCAAATAAAGTAAAGACGAACTCGGATCCTGTTGTAGATAAGGAGAATGTGGATTCCAACATAACAATTGGATGTAAGCCTACACCAATCGCAAAATCCCGCTTGAAAGATAGGGCATGGAAACCGTCTTCGTTGCAGCTGTGTATGCAGTTGAACGACCCGATTCCAAACTTCGGTTCAAGTTTCTATGAACCGATTGACTCCGGAAAAAACAATTCCGGTAACATTTGGGATTATTCCGATTCCGAAGCTGCTCCAGCTTCCTCATGGTCTACACTTCCCAACAGGTTCGTGTTTAAGTTCAATTAGGGTATCGATTGAGACTAATTCACTAATTTGTAACATTTTTGTATGTTTGTTTTCAGATCGTTGTTGTGTAGGCCATTGCCGGTGGATATCGGAAGGTGTACTTGTATTATCGTGAAGGAAAAATCTGTTGACGGGATTAATGGCGGAAGTGTATACACTCTGTACACTAATGTATGTAACTTTTTTTACTTTAACTCACGAACCTCTTAATTAGACCACAATGTTGTTGATTTACGCTTAATCACTTCGATTTTTCTTTGAAATTTCATAGGAAGGCCAAGGAAGACAAAATCGGAAACTTGCTGTAGCTCATCATAGACGTCACAACGGAAGATCTGAGTTCATAATTGCTCAGAATACAAAAGGGATATTATGTTGCGCAGATGATAGTTATGTCGGAAGTGTAACTGCAAATCTCATGGGTTCCAAATACCATATCTGGGATCAGGTATTTTTTCTAAAAACTTCACTATAATCATTCCGATTTTGTGTGAATTTTTATGAAATCCAAATCCTTTTTCGTTTTGTTACAGGGTCGACGTCTTAATTCCATGACTAAACACTCTAAACTTCTAGCAGCAGTATCGTAAGCTTCATTGCTATCTTAAACTACGAACATCTTATCTCATAAATTATGTACTAATTTAAAATAAAAAAATTCAAAATAGATTTGTGCCTACGATAGCAACATGGACAGGAAGCTACAGGAGTATGAAAGCGTGGCTTCCTAAACATCAGTCTATGCAACTGAAGAATACAACTCAGGTAAGAAGATAATAGATTAAGTATACCATTTTTAGCAATATATTTACATAATATGAAATTTTGAATTTTAGTATGATTTTGAATTTTTTTTTTTTTTTTTTTTTTTTTTAATTCAGGCTCAGCATATAAATGGATTACCTACTGGTTGGGAAGAGAGAATGGATAGAGTACATCAGCTGTTTTCAAAAGTTCCATGCTACAACAATGTAAAGTTTACATATATAAATATTTGAAAAATCTACCAAATACAAAGACAGTGAATAATTTGAAAGTAGATATTTTAAAAGTAGAAAATCATAAGATCGTAGATATTTTAAAAGTGCAATCTTTTCAAAGAAAATAGGATGTTGCTATCATAATGTAAAGTTTGCATATATAAATTTAGGGTTAAGTGCAAGAATTAGGAACGTAGTTTCTTTTATTTGTTTATTATATGATCCGACTTTCATTTTTTTCATATATGAACATTTGTACCTTGAAAAATCTAACTAGTTATTATATCAATATGATTCATATAAAAAGAAATTTTCACTTCTATAATGCTGTTTATGTTTATTATATAGCATCCTAGTTTCATCCAAATAACAAAGCAATTTTCATCATAATCGGGTAGATTTTTCGAAGTATAATGTTATAGTAGAAGGAAATAGAAGTAGGATCCTATAGTACATAAATAAACAAATAAAGGTAGGTTATTATATTCTTCATTAAGCCCTTAGCTTTAAGAAAATATAAGCATTCATTTGAAAAACTATGTTTTGTTTTTCAGATCACAAAGCAATATGAGTTGGATTTCAGAAATAGGGGAAAATCAGGACTTAAAATCGAGAGTTCAGTCAAGAATTTCCAGTTGACTTTGGAGGTAAGTAAACTTACAAATGTACAAAATGAAACGAAGAAACTGAATAACAAATATTGATTTGTGTTTTTTTATTCTGTGTTTAGAAAAATGGAAAACAAACAATTTTACAACTTGGGAGGGTTGGAAAGTCGAAGTATATGATGGACTACAGGTAAAAACATATCAATATTATTTTAAAACTTTAAATCTTCATTTCAATTTTTGATTACTCAAAAAAGTTTTTATTCATTACAATATTTTTTTTTTTCAGATATCCATTGACCGGTTATCAAGCCTTCAGCATATGTTTGGCTTCTATTGATTCAAAGCTTTGTTGCACGATGTGATGATGATATTATGATCATTTCTTATGAATTATGATGTCACTCATATTTAAATATTTTCCTAAGGCAATTAACTAATTTGTTTATTGCATTTTCAATAATAATAATAATATGTATATTATTATTATTATTAGACGTGGGACAAGGAAATTTTAATTACTTGGTTTGGAAGTAGATTGTTTGAAAAAGAGTCAATGAAATTAGCCCATACTTCCAGTCCAGTTGGCATTTATGTATGCAGCTGAAGTGAATAAGTCAAGTGTCTACTTGCTAGCTACCAGCCGACTACCAAATGTAGGCATTATACAAGACATTAAGTTCTGGTACAGCTTTTCAATCAGTTTGGCAGGGTTGATTATCCATTGAAAATATGTGGTCTCCACAAAAAAAAAAATTAATTTAATTAAATAAAACGGCTCATTTTGTCATTTTTCACTTAAATTTAAAGTAGGCTCTAAATTTGTTGAGTCGAAATTAATGTTTAAACAAAGAAATCAAATAGTTACAAGATGATTAGGGGTTTGGCAACACTAGTATTCTAGTAAGATTAAAATCGCATGTCGTTTTTAATGTTCTTGTTGTAATGGTTTAAATTTTGAACTTGTTAAAGGATGTTTACAACTTTACAAGTGAACCAAAGTAATTATTTATCACTTAAACATAAAATGTTCCTAATAATATTATTCAAAATAAATGCAATATAGTATTACGTCAATCCAAAAATACCTACTTACTGATCCATTTTTAACTTTTTAATTCTTCGATTTCTTACTTTATAGTTTTTTTAGTGTTCATAATTGAATTACTTTATAGTTTTAAAGCATTGCCATTATTCTAGTGGAGGAAGCACGATGTTTTGCATAGAACAAATAAACTAAAAACTAAAACACGAAAAAGATAAAAATTAAATTAATAATAATAATAATAATTACAATAATAATAATAATAATGAAAGAAATTAGACGCCTGCGACATTTTTATTGATTTTCTTTTTTCAGGAAGCAGAAAGAAATATAGAAATAAATGAATGTCTATGCCTCATAAGTATATCTACAGTTACAAATAATTTTTAATCAGATAATTTAAAAAAGAAAAAAGGAAAATGAATTGAACTCTCATCTAAAAAGACGATATCATATCAAGTCAAATAGTAAAACCCTAAGATCATCGATGAAGTTGCTCCGATCGCCACCGCCGTCGCCGCCGTTGAAACTGCAACGATCACTATCTCTATTACGAAAAATCATTATCGATCACCGGTTCAAGCGTCAAGCTCGCATTGGAACATAGGCGCTGCAAATGAATTCAAATCGGCGAACATATTGTCTTCACCTTCTGCATAGCTATTGGATTCCTGAGAGCAATCAAAATACGTCTGTATATCGTCGGGGAAGCTTCGCCGTGGCAGATCTGATTCCGGCGGTGTCGAAGGGGAATCAGCCGCCGAGGTCCTCTCGAGCATTTCCTTAAACTTTGTGGACTGAAATAGTAGCCCTAAGGCGGAGGAAGCAGTATTACCTCCGGTAGAGCCACGTGGTGGCGGAGCTACGCTGGTGGTTGTTTCGCCGGAGCTTGAACTTTCCGGTTGCTGGTTTTGGTTGTTGCTGTTGTTGCAGTAGGAGATTAACCCTGGATCTTGACTGCTAGCGGCGTCTGGTAGCGGATTGAGGTCAAAGTTTGTTTGACTTCCGTTTAAGTTGTTGGGATCTGTTTGGTTGGGTCTTAACCACTTAATGTAACGGCTAAGGTCAAAATTTGTAACGGCGTTAAGTCCTCGGTATTCTATTGCTGCCATGTCGTATGCAGTCGCAGCTTCTTCTTGGGTAGCTAGTGACAATATGACAAAGTTTAAGGGTATATCAGAGATAAATTAAACTACAACAACAACAATACATTTTAGTTAAATTATAATTTTGATCCTTCATTATAGATGCTTTTCGTAATTGTGGTCCAAAACGTTTTTTTGTCATGTTGCAAGTACAATTCTCTTCGTCTGTGAATATAACGTACTTTTGTAATTTTGGTGCTAAAAATATAATCTTTTTTTTTTTTTTGAAAGAGGACCAAAATTATAAAAAAATGTACTTATAGTTTTAAATTCTAACCTATAGAAGAATCATATTTTTAGTCGATTTATATTTGATAAATATATTTAAAATCGACAACTAATGTAGTCTTTTTACGACTTCTAATCAAATAAAACCAAAGAGAATCCACTTTAGTTAATAGGGTTTACTATTTTGTTAATATAAGTTTCAAAATACTACTTTTATATATATATCATTTTCAGATAAATATTACCCTCACGTTACCATATAAGTGATTTATATAAATAACTTTTATATTAGAATTCACTTCGTTTTTAGAGACTTTTTACGTTTTACATGAATTATTCTAATAATGAAAAATAATTAATTATCAAAATAAATTCTGTTAATCTAAAGATCCCAATTGACTAAAAGAAAAGAAAAAAAATCTTACAAGTATTAATCTTTTTATAGGTCCCTTGCACCGACTAAAAGGTTAGCTTATTCGCTCAACCAACATAAATTTGGCACTTCGTATTCGTTTTACTTTAAATAACAAATTTGCATTTAACAAAACAATAAATTACTTATTTTTGTCATGAATAATTTTTGTACTTATTATACATTCGGTATCTAAAGGCTAAACCATTTGATTTTGTGTAGAAAGTTGAACTTATTAGTATCAATTTAGAAATATTGGCCTAAAATGTGGAAGCATACGTGCGATAAGAGATAAAGGGATTTTGGTTGAGCAACAATATTTGGTGGTATTGAATTCAAACTCATATGTGCATGAAATATTTGGTGGACAGTTGGGACCATGGAGTTGACAAATTTATTTCAAAACTAACTTTTAATTTTTCTTAATGTCACTAACTTAGCAGTTGAAGGTTGCTCATCTATCAACCAACTACATCTACTTTTATTAATCTTTTAATTTACATTAAACTATAATTTAAAAAACATCAAAAAAAAAAAAAACATTACGAATAAGAAATACGAACCTAAAACACAACATCGTTTCAAATTAAAAAAGAAAATAACAAAAAAGCTAGTTTGAGTCTGGTTTCAGACGGTTACATACTGTATATAGCCGTCAGTTATATTCCGAATCGAAATATAACTGTCTTCCGATTTTTATTTTTATTTTTATTTATTTTCAATCTATTTTGAGTCTGGTTTCATACGGCTACATATTATATATAGCCGTCAGTTATATTTTGTATGAGAATATAACTGTAAAATTTTTATTTCTATTTCTATTGATTTTCAATCTATTTGTATTCTTTGAAACATTTAAAAACTATATTATAAGTTCATAAAAATTGATTATAAATTATTTATTGCTTATGTGTATATGTGTGTATAATTTTTTATTTTTTAGGTTGAGGTCATTATTTTATTCAAAAGGCCCTTTTCTTTTGATGGAGATGTTTAGTGGTAATAACAAAAATAATGACTACTACTTTCATTGTTTTACTTCCAAAAGCAAACTCTTTCATTTGTTTTATGGTTTTGTAGTTTTCACTTGTACGTATGCAAGTTTTGATTTAATTTAATGACAATAATGAAAAGATTAATAAAAAAAATAAAGTTACAATCGATGAAAATAAATATAAATATTTACCGTATGTTCCAAGATAAAGATATTTGTTGCCAAAAACCCGTCCAATTCGAGCCTCCCATCTACCATTATGATGGTGCCTACATATTAAAGTACCATGATAAAATTATGTCAAATTTATAGACAAACATTATAATAATTTTACTATTTCAAAATCAAAAGGACAAAAATAATACCACATTTGTTGCAAAAATACCTTGCTACACCTCTGTATTTTGAAACTCCTCGTGAAAAACCGCTACTTTTTCTATTAAAAAGAAAAATAATATATATTATTAGAAAAATAATAAACGAAAACGCAAAATATATGACAAAAAATGATAATTATTACCTTCTTAAAGATCCAATATACTCCTCTTTTGACAAACTATCCATTTCTCGAAGCTCCTCTTCGTATGTTGGGAGCTGGTATTTATTGAATGGTGTAATTATAAATAATTAGGAAATTAAATTCAATTAAATGGAATAAATTTTAAATTGAAATGGGTAAAAATATTACTGGAAAATTGAGGATGGTGTCTTGTCCCCAATACTTCAATGCTGCCAAGTCATATGCATGTGCGGCGGCTTTTTCATCGTCGTAGGCCCCTAAATTTATATCACGAATTTGGATAAGTTTTGCTATGAATGTTGAAATTTTTTTGAATTCAAAGAACCAATTTCCCACTTTTTATAATATAATTTATTCATAACAGTAATGAAATTGGAAGGATATACATGAATGATATTTATATTTATGTGAATATGTGAATGCGAACCTTACCTAGATATACTGTAGGAATCGCCACCATTTTCATGAAAAATCAATCCAAAACGAAATTCGAATTAGGAATTTGAATAGAAGAATCGAAGAAACGAACTGGAACCAGGAATTGATAATAATTACAAATTTGAGAAGAAAGAAATGAAAACCTTGTCGTCCTTTTTTGTTTTGTGATTCATTCCAACAATTCTTATCCCACAAATGAGCTTCATATCGACCAGTCCATCGATGCCTTCACATGTCGAATGAAATGAAATCAAATTCACTCTCTAAACGACTCAAAACCTTCCAGATTGAAGAAAAGCGTACCTCGTGACGCCTCTGTATATCGAGCTTCGTTGCGGAGGTGAATCTCTCTGAACAGTCTTACGAGTTCTCTTAGCCTTGCTAATTACAGGCTTTTTATCGTTAGTGTCGTTTGACGACGCATTCTTTTTCTGTGAGATCTTCGCCATTGAACTTCAGTTCTATCGGAGAAACGAGGATAATTATACACAGAGAACAGAAGAGTAGAAAGCGAAAGAGAGAGAAATGAAGAAAGGAGACTGGGTCATCTCTCATACATACATCATCCAATGAGAGAATTGGGCATATAAAAGGAATTGATGTGAGAGAGAGAGAGAGAAAAGTTAATAAATAAGAGGGGTTTTGGAAGTGAGTGTGGTTTGGCAAAATCGGTGAGAGCCGGCAGAGAGATTAATGGAGGGAGGAGAGGAGAGATTAGAGACGATGGCCGTCTGTAATCGGCTATGAGCGAATTGTATTTCAGTTTCGTGATCTGTTTTTGTGTTTTGTGTTGTTTTCACTTTGATTGGATTTTGGGGATTGGGATTTGTGAGGTTTTACTTTGGGTTTATTCTAATTGTTATGTTATTGGTGCCCTAATTTTATGTTTCTTTTGATTTTGATTTATAGGCCCAGTTAAAAGTCATTATTGGACTGTCATTACGGCTTTAAGTTAATGTTTTTTTTTTTTTATATATTTTTTAATTTTTAATTATTTAATATAATAATTTCTTCTATTTTTATTTTTCAATTTAAGTATAATGATAAAAAAATAAAAAATAATTCAACAAATAGTTAAAAAAAAGTTATAAGTTAGAACGAATTTGTCAATTTGTGAAAAGTGTCTTAGATAAAATCAAAGTGTCTTGGACAATCATCATTCAGATATTTAAATTTTGAATCAAAGTTTATTTGTATATAATAATTTTTTTTCAAACAAAATAATTTGTGTTTTAGAATACTTTATGTCATAACTTATAAACTATAAATTATTAATTATGGAGAAAACTCAATGTAAAAATCAATTTGATTTTCACTGAAACCAAACTAATATTGTGGATTAATATATATATATATTTTTTATATTTATGTTAAATATCGGAGGAAACCTCAATTGTTTTACTTCCATGAATTACAATGTCATCACTTCTTGTACTCATCGGTTAATGTTATGAAATATAGAAACCAATATTTAATATTTATAAATAGGGACGATAGTTTGTATCAAATACTGATCTCATATTGGTACTATGTCAAAACAGGTATCGAACTGTATCGAATTTAATATAGAACTGTATTAAGTATTTCAAATTTACGAATTTTAAGATACGGTATCGGTACTGGTACCGAAAACCGGTTTATTTGAATCAAAGTTTATTTGTATATAATAATTTTTTTTCAAGCAAAATAATTTGTGTTTTATAATACTTTATGTTATAACTTATAAACTATAAATTATTAATTATGGAGAAAACTCAATGTAAAAATCAATTTGATTTTCACTGAAACCAAACTAATATTGTGGATTAATATATATATTTTTTATATTTATGTTAAATATAAGAGGAAACCTCAATTGTTTTACTTCCATAAATTACAATGTCATCACTTCTTGTATTTATCGGTTAATGTTATGAAAGATAGAAACCAATATTTTATATTTATAAATAGAGATGATAGTTTGTATCAAATACTGATCTCGTATTGGTACCGTGTCGAAACCGGTATCGAACTGTACTGAATTTAATATAGGATTGTACTTGGTATTTCAAATTTACGAATTTCAGGATTCGGTACCGGTACTGGTATTGAAAACCGGTACCATTCTCGGTAACGATACCGGTAATGCTAATTCAGTAAGATACTCAAGATTGACTCTCGATCAAATTTGATATTCAGAAACTCAGGAACGGTACCGGTTCCATCCAACATTCATTTCTATATAATAATATTATTTTAATTTCTAATTTTGGGTATAGTGATAACAAGTTTTTTTAAGCTATATTGAATTCTTGCACATTGTAGGGTTGCACTATTTCCACATTAAAAAAAATCTATAATCGAGTTTTTAAGACGTTGTACTTATAAATGTCCCAACTTTTAAAGCCATACTTGAGTGACAATTTTGTTATGTCTCATATTTTAGAAAATTGAGTAATCCATTTTATAATTTTTAATAATGTTATTTTTTTTTAAAAATAACTAATTTTAAAAAAAAAATCATTTTGTACGGAATGAGTTATTTTGGACTCGTATATCGTAATCTATAATTGCGTATAAGATCCGACCCGGTAATATAGTCTCATTTATAAATACCATTTTGAATTCATTTCGGAGTATATTTTGAACAACATTTTGAACACCAATCCAACCACAAATATCTTCTTCTAGCGATGCATAAATTCATTTTTAATATGTAAGTTTCTATTATAATTATAATTATGTTTTTAATTTAGATTATATGTTAGAAAGTAGATAATATATGTAGTTATATGGGTATTATTTGTTTTTCTATGTTTTTAGTTGTTTTTAAGCAATTATAAGATTACATGTGGTTACATGTGTACAATAGATCAATAAATCTTAAAAATATTTTAATTCTGACTTGTCCAGAATCATTCTGGAATACGTAAAACACGTTCGAAATGCATAGAAATTCATTGTCAATTTGGATTCATTTGTTTAGATCAGATCAAATTGTTTCATCCAAAAAAATTGTTTCATCAAAAAGAAACTCAATGTCTTATAATCCTTTATAGTTTTTTTTTTTCTTAACTATAGCATATTTACCATTTCTTTTTTTTTTCTTAACTATAGCATAAAAACCAGAAGGGTATTTCCATCGATACGGCCAAGATAAAGGTTGTGATGTAGTGGGAGGTTTTGAGATTTGGAGTTTTTTGGTCTAGCGGGTTACTATCGGAGATTCATCTAGAATTTCTCCAAGATCGTTGTTCCTTTGACCCGACCGACCAAGAAGTCAGTGATATTCCGCTGGGGACCTGAGCAACAGACAACCTTCGAGACTCTCAGATGTGCGAGCCACCAGTTCTGACATTACTGGTGGGCGTTGATGACTTCGTGGTTTACTGTGACACTTCGATTACGGGCATGGGTGCAGTGTTGATGCAGTGGGGCCACGTGATAGCATACGCTTCGAGGCAGTTGAAGCCTCACAAGGCGAACTACCCGACACACGATTTGTAACTGGGGTGTAACACCCAAAGTTTGGAAGGCCAAGAAAGGAAAGAAAACCCTAATTTTAAGGGCGACTCGGCGGGTCCAAGGATGAACTCGGCGAGTCCGAGCGGGATCCGGGTCGAGGAGTAAGTGACCGACTCGGCGAGTCGGGAAAGGGGACTCAACGAGTTTGGTCTGTGCGAGGAAAACCCTAAAATCGGGACTTGGAGCCTATTTAAACGCCTCATGCTCTCCCCTAAGGTTCCTTTACTACCTCTTTCACCCAGAACATCAAACCATAGCTGCCACATCCATTGATTGAGCCATTTGTTGCCTTGGAATGTGCATTGAAGCTTGGAGAAAGAAGAAGGAACTTGGAGGAGCAAGAAAGGACTATAGATCTGGGATTGTGAGTTCATTCTGAGCATTTGGAGGTAATAAACTAGTTCTTGGACCCTTTTTGCACCTAGATCTATGTGTTGTTGTTGGGGTTTTTTTAGCCATAATGTTATTCTTTCAAGTTAGAAGCCAGATCTGAAGTTGCTACTTCAGATCTAAGTATATTATGGTCTTGAGAAGCATAAAGTAGCAGCCCTTGAGTTGATTATGGAGCCTCTTTGCCTTAAACCCTAGTTCATGGTGTATTTTGCCTAGATCTCCTTCCCTACACGTAAAGTTTGCAACTTTACGTGAGGAATAGGCTTGGGAAGGGTAGATCTACAATTTGGAGTCCATGCATGATTCAAAAGTCCTCTGCATGTAAAGAGATATGAATGGACTCGGTGAGTCCTTTGAGTGGACTCGGCGAGTAGCATGAAGGTGAGGAGCAACTCGACGAGTGGGATGAACAGCTCGTCGAGTCAGATGAAGATTGCCTTGTACTCGGTGAGTCTGTTCTTGGACTCGGCGAGTCAGGTTGCGAAACCCCAAACCCTTCAAGTTGAGACTCGAATCAGTGAGTCAGATGGAGACTCGGTGAGTTGGACAGACCAAGACTCAGAAATCGGTAGACTCGGCACGTCATGGACTGACTCGGCGAGTCGACATGCGAAAAGAAGGATTCTAAAATTATGAACTCGGCGAGTCAGTAGGGTGACTCGGCGAGTAGGGTTGACCTTGACCAGGACTTTGACTTGGACCAGGGTTGACTTGGTTGTCTTTCGGGGGTTAGTTAGACTCAGTGTTGCATTGATATTGGTAGTTCAGGGAGCAAGGGGAGCAGCAGTTCAGTGAGTTGCCGGGTAGCAGCTAGTGAGTTCATCAGCAAGTTCAGCTAGTGCAGGTGAGTTACCTTCCAGTAGCGGTGGGTCTACGGCCAAAATGCCAGCCCACCAGTAGGAGTTGTATGATGGATGATTGTCTCTGTGATATTTATCTAAGGTTGCTACTACCTATGATATGTTTATGTGCTAGTATGATATGATGCTATGTGTTAGTGACAGTAGGGGGAGATAGTCCCCAGATTACCGGTCGATAGGGCCGAAGGGGCGATCATGCCCGACCATGCTAGATAGATTATGAGATATATGTGTTATGTGGTAGTAGTAGGGGGTGAAATAGTCCTCAGTATCCGGTCGAGAGGACCGAAGGGGGAGACCAGCACCCAGATATGCTAGTTAGTATCCGGTCGAGAGGACCGAAGGGGGAGACCAGCACCCAGATATGCTAGTCAGTATCCATTCGAGTGGACCGAAGGGGGAGACCAGCACCCATATATGCTAGTCAGTATCCGGTCGAAAGGACCGAAGGGGGAGACCAGCACCCAGATATGCTAGTCAATATCCGGTCGAGAGGACCGAAGGGGAGGCAAGCTCCCAGTTATGCTAGACAGTATTCGGTCGAGAGGACCGAAGGGGTAGTTCGGGCACCCAGATATGCCTGACGATATATGCTTGTTATGTGATTGCATGGTATGTGGTAGGTTGGGGGAACTCACTAAGCTTCGTGCTTACAGTTTTCAGTTTGGTTTCAGGTACCTCTTCTTCAAAGGGGAAGGAGTTGGCGCGGTAGCGACCCATCACACACATGCTTCATATTCCACATCATGAGAACTTCCTGGGGATTTGTACTCTGACATTATTATGTTTATTGAAAATTTTTCCAGACATGCGATATCTTATTAAAATACTTTGTTCAGTAAATGTTTTAATTCAAATGTTTTGTTAAAAATATGTTTTCAAAAAAGAAAATTTTGGCTCGTATTTTGGGGTGTTACAAGTTGGTATCAGAGCCCTGGTTTGAGGGATTCGGACACACCTTCGGGGGTGTTTGAACTCAAATCGAGGGATTAAAAGATTTTGGAAAGAGAAAATGTTTTCTAAAAGGCTAAGTAAAGGGTTTTAAGAAAGAACAAAGTGTGTGATGTGCGCGACTAGCCGAGCTCAAGTAAGTACCCCAAAATACCCATAC